AAAACAACACGGCAAAAATTGACACTACACCTTCCGATAAAACCCAAAGAATTAGAGCTATTCCGAAGATTATCTACCAATTCCTTTTGACACAATCATAGACAGCTGAAGAGTGTAACATAAAGATTTCACCGGCACAAGTAGGAGGGAATAGTGGTCTATGTTGCAACTAAATTTAAGGACGTTTTGTAGGTTGGTGAGTTTAGAAGGAAGCGAAGACAAAGTGCTTACTTCTATCGGTCAGCAGTTTAGCGTATTAATAAGCACTAGCCAGGGGGACAAGATAGCCAAACTCGAAATAACAAAGCTGCCAGAAATGTACGACGCCAGTAAAGCTCTAGTGTCATAAAAGCTGAGCGCCAGTCCAGTATGAGCAAACAAAGTTTGGCGATACGAGGACTTAACTAACTCATTGCTAGGCAGTAAAGTGTGCACTAGACGACTGAAGGGATAAATAACATGGAAATCATAGTTATTATTTTTTAAGAACCAGTAATGACTGGGACAGCAAACGAAGTAATGCATGCAAACATCCCAATAAGAGATACCACTTATTAAGGTAAGTACAGGTCTAATGGAGCACTCAGCATTAAACGTACCGCTAACCACAGTTTAGAGCAGAGCTGAAATAAGGTTTCAAAGTACCAACCTTATTCGGAAAGCTGACAAGGTGTTCCAAAATATTTCAAGGGCTTAAATAATATTGATTCAGTAAAGCGCCTTTAAAGGAGCAGAAAGGACGCAAAGATAGGTGGGATTAAGTGCACTGAGTAATGGGATCAATGGGGTTTAAACACTCCATAGTATGGACTTTTGCTCCTGTTACAGTAGCTTTTACTTCTACCATTCTGAAAAAAAAACTATCACTCACCGCCAGGGCAGCGTTTGGTCATGAGGACGGTGCATTTTGGGCACTCCGGCTCGGAGTGGCAGGTGTGCTGTACAGGGTGGTCGCATGAGTGCGGCCGCGAGCAGGGTTGGTTGCACTCAGGTGGTTTAGTGCCGCAGGGCTGTGGTGGCGGTAGAACGGTGGCACCACAGTGACAGTACACCTCCTCATTAATCACACCTCGCCAACATGAACCGCAGGGACCACAGTGGCATAGATCCTCACAAGTGTGCTTTCCGCATGCCAGCGTGCGACCACATATCGCCTGGCACGCATGAATCACCATCTGAGCAACGATGTAATACCGCCTCCTGGGTCAACCCATCAGCAAGAGAGTTTATGAACGAAAAGCGGACTCTTTCGGTGAGAATCATTAGGGAAAGTTATGGACAATTACTACCACTATTTGTGCCCGCCACTGGCGAGCCAAACATTTGAAGAATAGACCATACAAGCCGTTCTATCATAATTCAACTCAGCATTCCATGTTTCCAAACCGCAGTGTTGATTTGGGCATTTATAAATATTCACAGTTTAAGGCATTATCCTAAAGAATTTATTGTAAACAAAACGTTGTCCTACACCAACGCTAGAGTTTGATCAAAGTTCATACTTTAAAAATAATACACTGAAAAGATACTGGTATCTCTGATAAACCACACCCAGAGGCAAAAGACCGTACAATCCAACTGGTGGTCTGTCGTTTTAAGCGGATCAACTGACCCGTACCTGTTGGATTCTATCCTCCCATGAAAATGCGAATATCACCCAGAGAATGGAATAACTCCCAAGTATTTGCAGGGGCAAGCACAAGAAACTACGCAAGTGCATAATTAATTGAAGTGTCACTTCAGCAACAAAGACGTTACCATAACTCTCAGACAAATAAACACGAAACGCTGTAGCCAAGCCAATCGCTGGCTCACATTCTAATTTTAACCAAGATTTAGTTTTGTTGGTCTAATAATTTTGACTTGACAATCATAAACCCTATCAATCACCAATGAGTCACAAGAAGCCAAAAGCACTAATCAACAAAGGAAAAAAGCAACGTGCAGTTTGGTGTGCAGCTAGTTACCATCAAAGTATAGGAGAATTTAAAAAAAAAAGATTTTCATGATCCAGACGCTGGTTTCACCTTAACACATTTACAAAAACCATTAACCGAATGAATCACTTATTTATTACAATTAATACGAGCCGCCGTCAGGCACCATCCGTCGAGCATCGTTCGCCTTGGAACGGACGCAACATATTGCCCGCTTTTGCAGGACCTTCTAGTACAGAAACAAACAAGAACTTCTCGAAAAAGCAATAGTTCAGCCTCAACGCCGATGACGCTGAACTGGATTGCAAAAGTAATACTTAATTGAGAAGGCAAACGTTCCAACACGGGCTGAATCTACATTCGTTACTAGCCGTCTAATTACAGCCCAAACCGACTGCCATTGTAGGGGAGCGTTCTAAATGAATGAATAATACCTATGGAAGTTCTGAGATAAAACGATAGTTGTCTCGATCTGTATTAACCAAGGAACACATTAACGATGCATTCACATCATAAGGGACAGCCCAATATTCTGTGTGAAGCGATCAAAGGCCGATTCTGAAAAGTGAGGTTAGATGAAGTTGTGCCAAAAGGCACTTCAAACACCCACCTATTAGGTTATACCAAGGAAAACATCAAGTACACAAGGTCCAATGAGGCGACTTCCTCCCCACACGAGTGCAAGGACACTGAGCTAGTTATCAAAATCACCTTAAAAGCACACTCCACTGGCTCTTAACCATGTTTTCAGGTGAGTTTCGACCAGGCGTTCCGTTCCTAAACGGCCCAAAAATTGAGAGCGAAAGTTATTTAAAGAGACCCCTCCAATTCGCTTTTGAATGTGGACCTGAAGGCTGTTTGAGTTAAAGGACAGTCTAATGAAGTTAACTAAATGCGCATAAAGATAGCCGATATTGTGGCTACATGGAGAGCCCAGGGTCATAGAAAGGCAATATCCGATGGCTTCAAAGAAAGATGAGTCGAACACATTCGCGGACATTCTTACTCCTGTACAGTGGGTAATGAAGGGCACCTTAAGTTACCCTTGATGTTGAGTCAGACTAAAATTCCGCTTTCAATCGAAGAACAAATCTATGCTTTCATTTGGTGTTGATTCCTTCCATTCTGCGCAAGTGCCGGCAAGGATTAAGGCGCTTTAGTGAAATGCGAAATTCTGTCTTCATTTGAAATGGCTAAATGACCCAAAACATCAACCTCGTTCCTTACCCCCAGATCTTTGCAAGTGAGGATAACTCGTTATTTTGATGGCGAGTACAATGAACCAGAGGAAGAAATAAAGCAAGCAACCAGACTCGAAGAAAAAACGAAACAAGAGGAAGCAAACAAACTCCACCATAAACCAATATTCTTTTACAGTGAACGCATATTAATTTGGTCCCAGTGCTACAACTCTGCCCACATGACGGTTT